ACTCTGCTTCAGCTGGAGATCAGAAATTAGGGAATTATCCCAATAGCCTCTACAGAACTGATTTAACAAACGTCTGCTCATGTCTACCACAGGCACACCTCCCCGCTTCACAGCAAGGTTCAAAGTGCCCTGGAGACGTTGAAGGAAAGCTGAGGGCTTCTCAACTGCATCTTGGAATGTGTCCATAAACTTAGCATAATGCTTATCACCATCCTGAACCACGCCGAAAGGCTGAGTCAAGTTGTTGCAAGTAAACATCAGGCAAAGTGTCAGAGCTCAGATGCTTTATCATATCATCAGCAGGTGGCAGGAGACTGTCAAGGATCTTTTGGGACCGTTAGAGATCTGAAATGGCAGGATATGGCAGGAGGTCTGGGGATTTTGCCGGAAAAGACTCTCACCAACAGAACCACATCATCTGCGAAAAGCAGAGATGCAATTCTGAGGTCCCCAAACCGTACCCCTTCCTCCCCCCGGCTGCACCTTGAGATCCTGTCCAGGAAGATCCCAAACAGGATTGGTGACAAGGGACAACCTTGCAAGAGGCTAACACCTACCGAGAACGTGTTCGACTTTACACCAGGTATGCAGACACAGCTTGGACATCTGGAGGGAGCTCGGAGTAGAGCCACTGCTCCTTCCCACTGAAAGGGGTCAGTTGGGGTGGTTTGGGCATCTGACTAGGATGCCTCTTGGACGCCTCCCGCTGGAAGTGTCCCAGGCACATCCCACTGGTAGGAGGCCCCAGGGCAGACGCAGAACCCGCTGGAGGGATTACATATCTCGTCTGGCCTGGGAACGCCTTGGGGTCCCCCAGAAGGAGCTGGAAAGTGTTGCCGAGGAGAGGGATGTCTGGGATGCTTTGCTCCCCCGCGACCCAGGGCCCGGATAAGTGGATGAAAATGGATGGATGGATGGATGGATGGATGGATGGCTACTGACTATGTTACCAAAAGAAAAGAGAAAATCATGATGGGTTTTCTTTTTTAAGGGCATATAGCCTATAGCGAATGGCACCATTTTAAATTTAATGTAAGTTCTTCTTTGAACACAGGATTGGTTCCGAGGTGGCAATATAGGTTACATAAACTATGAGGTACGGCCATATATCCCTCCACCACTGAGGTGTTTGAAGTGCCAAAAATATGGCCACGTAGCAGCAAACTGCAAGGGCAAGCAAAGATGTGGTAGGTGTGCAGGTGAGCACGAGTATGGGAAATATGAAAAAGGAGCTTAACTGAAGTGTTGCAATTGCGGAGGTGAACATAGGTCAGCCTATCAAGATGTGAAGTTAGTAAGAAAGCAGCAGAAGTGCAACGAATCAAAGTCTCTCAGGGGATAGCATATTTACAGGCAGTGAAAAAAGTGACTGGGCAGACAGAGGCCTCTAAATCCGTGGGCACAGAGACCCTGCAATGGATGTAACAAGATTGCGGAAAGGAAAGATCTGTTAATTGTGAGCAAGAGTGTTGTTTATGGTATATGTAATGAACTGCTCAGCACAGACAGACAAGAAAACTGAAAAAATCAAGATCATAGTAAAATCAGCAGAGAAATACCTTGGTGTTTAAGGACTAAGCTGGGAAACAGTTGAAGAAAAGTTACGTGGAGGAACTTCTAGCACTCAGGCATGGGGTGGGGGCTCATAATGGTATTAATTGACCTACAGTAAAATGCTAGAAGCCTTATTACTAATGGACAAGAATCTAAAAAGTATGTTTCAAATTTAGTTGACAAACCTCACGTGATATGTACACAGAAAACATGGCTGAAATCAGAGTAGAATTTTGTTTTATATGGATATACTGTTGTCTGGAATGATAGGAAAACTGGGAAAGGTGGAGATGTGGCTACATTTGTAAAGGATGGGATAAGTTATAACTTAGTTTATCTAGGGAAAGAACAACAATCTATTGTAGTGAAAATATGGACAGGAAAGGACAGCCTAATGATAGTCAATTACTATAAACCTTGTACTAGACTAAGTCCTGACATATTAAAATGCTGCATGTGGGCTGACACAAGGTAAAATAATGTAATATGGCGATTTTAACACGCACAATACTTTGTGGGGGAGTAGCAATACAGATGCTAATGGCACTGTAATTGAGGAATTCATGGATGAGAAGTGCTTAGTGTGTCTTAATAATGGAAAAGGTACAATATATAACATTTCACAGAATACAGAAGGTGCAATAGATTTGACATTCACATCCTCTGTAACTGCAGGAATCAGTTCTTGGGAAGTACTGAACCAGTCATTAATGGGTAGTGATCACTACACCCAATAACTATCAAAATAAGAATAGAGATATATCAAAAGGGGGATGGAGATTACCAAGGTGGAAGTTAGGTAAAGTGAACTGGGGTGCATTTCAAGTGTTAAGTGAAGCCAGATGTGCAGAGCTAACAGGAGAGAGTATAGTAGATGTGGAGAAACTTAACAAAAAATTGGTTACAGCTATTATACAGACAGCAGAAAAGACTATTCCAAAGAGTGTAGGAGGCAAGTGGAGAACAAATGGTGGGATGAAAATTGCAGTAAAGCCATTAAAATGAGAAACAGAGCATTCAGACAACTTAAAGCTCACCACACAGTGGACACAATGATTCAATAAAAGAGCACAAGCAACAGTTCAGAAAACGGTTAGATCAGCAAAACAAACATATTGGAGAAAGCGCTCTAATTAGATTGGGAGAGAAACACAAAAGGTCAGATGTGTGGTGGGTATGATTAGGAATATGAATGGCATAAAGAATAAATTTTGAAATACCAGTGCTGACCAACAGTAATATAAGTGCAGTTAGTAATGTAGAAAAAGCAGAACTGTTACTGAAGACATTTGTGAAAATCCACAGCTCAGGAAATTGATCAGAAAAACTTAAGCAGTGTAGAGACAACACCCTTGCACAAAATCCAAGAATCACAGAAAGAAGGGCTTCAACAGGAGAAGATTTAGATTTACCATTTAATCTATTTAAATAAAGGAGAGCTCTTTCTAATGTGCGGCAAACCTCGACAGGAAAAGACAATACCTGCTACAGCATGCTAGCTCGAATGAAAGACAAAATGATATGGAATACAGGCACAATCCCATCAACATGGAAACAGTCAGTTAGTGTACCAATACTCAAACAGGTAAAGATTCATCTTATCCATCAAGTTACAGGCCCATTGCATTTACTTCACAGTTAAGGAAGACAATGGAAAGAATGGTAACAAAAAGACTTACACACTTTCGAGAGAGCAAAGGACTATTTTCTACATATCAAAGTTGTTTCCATAAAGGGTGAGGGACAATGGACTCTGTCCTATGTCTGGAATCAGAAATCAGGAAAGCTCAAATTAACAAAGAATCTGTTATTGCTGTATTTTTTGATATTGAAAAAGCATATGACATGCTATGGAAAGAGGGACTCCTTATCAAACTTAACAAAGTAGGTGTAAATGTTCAACTGGGTGTTGAACTTCCTGTTAGGGAGGATCATAGAAGTTGAAGTGGGTACAGAATATTCCAGTAAATAGTCAGTGGAAAATGGTACCCTCACAGGATAGTGTGTGCAGTCCATTGCTATTTAACATACTGATTAATGACATCTCAAAACAGGCTGACAATAGCATAGGAAAGTCGCTTTATGCTGATGACAGAGCACTCTGGGCCAGGGGTTGATATGTGGAGTACTTAAAAAAGTTGAAGAATGGGCAAACAAATGGGGATTTAAACTGTCTATTGAAACATCACAGGTAATATGCTTCACTAAGCACCATAAACCAGTACAACTGAAACTATATGTTAAGTTGAGCAGGTGAAAGTAATTAGATTTCGTGGAGTTCTGCTGGATGAAAAACTCACCTGGTGTCAACATATTGAAAAGTTAAAAAACAAATGCAAAAAGATCAATAATATATTGTGATGCTTGTCAGGAAGGGACTGGGGGGCAAACAAAACATCTTTATTAAACATTTATTGGGCTCTCATGAAAGCAGTCTTGGGCCATGGATGTGTTGCTTATATGTCCGCAGCAGAACCAAGCCTAAAAAGCTTGATGTGGAACAGGCTCAAGCCCTCCGGATTTGTAGTAGAGCATTTAGATAGATAGATAGATAGACAGATAGATAGATAGATAGATAAATATACTTTATTTAATCCCCGGGGGGAAATTTAAAATGTCTTCAGCAACAGGGGCAAGAACGACAAAAAAACCCCACAAATCACAGCACACATACTGACACAAGAAAAATCCTGAAAGTACATAAGACCACAAGGTGTGAATCAAAGGTATAAAAAGGTGTATAAAAACAGTACAATAAATATCAATAAATAAAAACAATAAAACATCACCGATATCTATGTTACAAGTAGAAATGGGGGAAAGCCGCTACAAATGAGGAGAGTCAAGTTTATGTTGACATATTGGATTAATCTGCAAGGGCAGAGCAGGTTACACCTTACTTAAGCCATTCTCCAAGATTGTTGGGAGCAAAAGTATTATAAAGGACTATTTATGCAAAAAAACTGGCAGAGATATTGGATCTTCAGTGACACAGGGAGACATCTTTATAGTATTCAAAAACATGTAGGTGCTGGTAAATTACGCAGCGGGAGCCCAGGGGAAGAGATGATCATTACCCGTCTGACAATAGGACATACTGGATTAAATCACACTCTTCATAAAATAGGGCAGCATCCTACTGAACTATGTTCAAACTGTAATGAACTGGAAACAGTTAAACATGTAACTTACTAACAGACAGCAACCGATATGAAGAAGAAAGAAGGTGTTAATAACAGGACAAACTGAAGAAAAGCAAAATATTACATTAGGGAATCTACTTGGAAGGACATCAAGGAATATACAGAGCTTCTGTTTAACTATTAAAGAGTAACAGGAATGACAGAGGGAATTTAGCCACTGTCTTTTTGTTTGTTTTGTTTCCTGCCAATCCCCTGCTTCCCACTCCAGTCCAGTAGGTGGCGGTAATGCACCTTAAAGCTGGTTTGCCAACCGTAATTAAAACTCAAAAAAGAAAGAAAAAGAAAGCCCAACATCTCAAGGAAATACCAAAGTGGCTGCTAATCCGTTGATACGACGTGCTGCAAAAACAGCTGGTTATCAAGCCTCGTAAGCTTTCCCTCGCGTGAAACACACGGCGGCGCCCCCTTCACTTAGCATAGATAGCTAACGCTTATTACCAGCTATCAGTCGCGTAGTAACGTTACTAGCTAGTTAGCTTGTGGAGATTTCAAACGCCGAGGGGGCAGGATGCAAGAGGATCATTTGTGAGAAACGACCCCTATCCACGGTAAGTCGCTGACCGAAATATTTTTTTAAAGTCTGTTCGGCGGGCTAACGTTACCGTAGTACTCTAGCTAGCTGCTTATCTCAGTTAACTTCACCGGGTGGCTAGTTAGCTTGCAATTTAGCACGCACTTGTTCCAGCCCAGTGCGTTGTCACAGCCATTAAACGTTAATAACAGGGGATAAGGACTGACGGACATAGGACTGATGTAAGAGACTTTAGCTAACGGTAGAGTTGCAACATAAGGGACTTAATGTTAAACAGCTTTATGACATCCATCTTAAAAAAAAGCTACCTTGCGCTTATTAATAAACGTCAACTTAATAGACTTCAGCTGATAGTGTCTGTGTCGTTTTTCACTTTGGGTTTGTGTTACTGTTAGGTTTAGCAAGTTAAAGTTGCCCGGTTTTTAAACGAGCAAAGGAGGTCATTCAGACCTTGCCTACAGTGTTATCCTGAAACTGTGTTAAAGGTCACCGCTAACGTCAGTAGCCTACGGGCGTTCATCTTAACCATTCAGGTGGACACGCTCCCAAATTCCACTACTCTATTGCAGTCCAGCAAAACAGCTGGTCAGATACATTACTCCTTTAGAAATGATTCACAAATGATTCTACTAATAATAATTAATATTATTAATATTGTTATCTTACTGTATAATGACGAAAACTGTGAGTGTGTGTCTGTGGGTGTGTGTGTTCCACGTTTTTCTCCTCACTGACTTGGTCAATCCATGTGAAATTTGGCACAGTGGTAGAGGGTCATGGGAGGATGCAAATGAAGCAATATTACATCAATTGGCCAAAGGGGGGCGCTATAGCAACCCATTGAAATTGCAAACTTTGAATGGCCATATCTCATGCCCCGTGTAGAGGCCAAAATATATTTTTGCCTGTTTCTTTACATAGGTTACATCATTGCGTTGATGATATCATTGCGTTGATGATGTCACTGCGTTGACACATTGTGGGGGTGTGGTTATTTCTTTGATTTATTGTGTGTTGTGGCGGGAGTTTTGAACACAAAAGGGGACTAGAAGCTCTAATATTTTTTGTTGACCGTCATTTCACCTTATCATCTCACCGTTATCATTATTATTATTCATTGAGACTCATCTAGTATTATTTTTCACTTTTGCTATAACTGCTTGTTGGCTCTTTTTTGATTTTTGGATTTTTGTTACAATAAACACTTTAAACTGATCATGGATCCTTTGAATCTTTGGACACATCACAAAAGACGAGCTTTAAGTTCCCCAGCGGTTGAAGTATTAAAAGACAGCGGCAACACCGTGTATGTCATAGAGACATGAAACTTTGCACAGAGATACCCATAACTTTAGGTTATATAGATTTTCTGCCTTTTTGAATTTTTTGAAAAACACTTAAAATCGATCTCTTCCTAGGAAGTTTGACTGATCTGCATGAAACTTGGTGAACATAATCTAGGGACTAGGGCTGCACGATTAAGCGGAATAAAATCATGATCTCAATTCATATGCATATGTGATCTAATTTTTCAATGACGGTGATTCTGCCAGCCCCGCCCGTGCCAGGAGTCGGGATATCATCTGCATGAAAACAAGTGCTCCCAACGACGCAGCGTTATACCATATGATGCAGAGCGACAGCCGGTCGGCAGTTTGGAAAGCAGCGAGACAGGGGGTAAACACACTGCTAACTGTAGCCTCAGTTTGTGCCTCATACAGATCTGCTGGTAAAGTTAACTTAGCGTTAGCAGGCGTGATAAAAGACGACAGAGAGGCAACGTTGTGCAAATAAATCAAAGATTTATTAATTTTCTGTAGCAGTAAACACATGGGCCGATAACAAATGTGTTAACTAACTATGCTAAAGCTTTACAAGCTATTCAGGGCTGCCGACGATAACATTAACATGACAAACAGCAAGGCTATGGCTAACAAGTTAATGTACTGACACTCCTCTCTGAGGAAGAGGGTTCACTTTGCTGCAGGGTTCACCAAAACGTTTTTTTGTTTTTTTCTTTTAATAAATTGAACACACATTAAAGAACATACAAGATCCTGTAGAGAATTAATACATAATACAATACAATAAACACTGTCAAATTAAATGAAGGAAGAAGATTTTTTTTGAAGGCAAATAAAATATTGGGGATTTATGTAAAAATATACATAGAGACATATAAATAATTATATAATTAAAGATATGTAGGCTATGTTAGGTGAATACTCCTGTCAAATGCATGGTGTTGGAATGTTTAATTTTGATCTTCCTTAGTCCATTTAGACTTTATTTTATCATAACAATAACAATGAATATTATGAAATGTTCACATTTTAATTTAATTTTAATAACATCTATCACACAGCATTTTGTGGAAAAGTCAAATTTTCAGTTTACAGTTTTAATAAACTCAGTACAGTTTTTCAACACATATATTGTTTTGTCTTCATTCAATGTAGTTAGCACATATTGTTATTGCGCCATTGGTTTTGGCCTTGGTACTTGTACTCGTACTCGTTGTCCTCCGCTTATCCGGGTCCGGGTCGCGGGGGCAGCAGCCTCAGCAAAGAAGCCCAGACAGTCCTCTCCCCAGCCACTTCCGTCAGCTCTTCCACGGGAACCCCGAGGCGTTCCCAGGCCAGCCAGGTGATGTAATCCCTCCAGCGTGTCCTGGGGCGGCCCCGAGGTCTCCTCCTGGTTGGACATGCCCGAAACACCTCCCAAGGGAGGCGTCCAGAAGGCATCCTTACCAGATGCCCGAACCACCTCAACTGGCTCCTCTCGATGTGGAGGAGCAGCGGCTCTACTCCGAGTCCCTCCCGGATGTCTGAGCTCCTCACCCTATCCCTAAGGCTGAGCCCAGCCATCCTGCGGAGGAAACTCATTTCGGCCGCTTGTACTCGCGATCTCATTCTTTCGGTCACTACCCAGAGCTCGTGACCATAGGTGAGAGTTGGAACGTAGATCGACCGGTAAATTGAGAGCTTTGCTTTCTGGCTAAGCTCCCTCTTCACCACAACGGACCGGTTAAGCGCCTGCATCACTGCTGACGCCACCCCAATCCGCCTGTCAATCTCCCGCTCCATCCTACCCTCACTCGTGAACAAGATCCCGAGATACTTAAACTCCTCCACCTGAGGAAGGACCTCCCCCCTGACCTGGAGTGGGCAATCCACCCTTTTCCAGCTGAGGACCATGGCCTCAGACTTGGAGATGCTGATTCTCATCCCAGCCGCCCCAGTGAGAGCTGGAGGTCACTGTTCGATGGAGCTAGGAAGACCACGTCATCCACAAAAAGCAGGGACGAGATCCTCCCATCACTGAACCTGACACCCTCCACCACTCGGCTGCGCCTAGAAATTCTGTCCATAAAAGTTATGAACAGAACCGGTGACAAAGGGCAGCCCTGGCGGAGTCCAACCCTCACTGGGAACAGGTCCGACTTACTGCCAGCCACGCGAACCGGACTCATGCTCCTTCGGTACAGGGACTGGATGGCCCTTAGCAAGGGGCCGCCAACCCCATACTCCCGGAGCACCCCCCACAGGATGCCCCTGGGGACACGGTCGTAAGACTTCTCCAAATCCACAAAACACATCTGGACTGGTTGGGCAAACTCCCATGCCCCCTCCAGCACCCTGCTGAGGGTAAAGAGCTGGTCCACAGCTCCGCGTCCGGGACGAAAACCACATTGTTCCTCCTCAATCTGAGGTTCAACTATCGACCGGATCCTCTTCTCCAGTACCCTGGAGTAGACATTACCGGGTAGGCTGAGGAGTGTGATCCCCCTGTAGTTGGAACACACCCTCTGGTCCCCTTTCTTGAAAATGGGGACCACCACCCCGGTCTGCCACTCCAGAGGCACTGGCCCCGATGTCCACGCAATGTTGCAGAGGCGTGTCAGCCAGGACAGCCCTACAACATCCAGAGCCTTGAGATATCCAGGAAGAATCTCATCCACCCCCCGGGCTCCGCCGCATAGTTGTTTCACTACCTCAGCAACTTCTGCCCCCGAAATTGGACGACCCGCCCCCGAGACCCCTGTCTCTGTTTCCTCACTGGAATACGTGTTGGTGGGATTGAGGAGCTCCTCAAAGTATTCCTTCCACCGCCCGACAATGTCCCCAGTTGACGTCAGCAGCTCCCCGCCCCCACTGTAAACAGTGTGAGCAAGTTGCCGCCTTCCCCCCCTGAGGCGCCGGACAGTTTGCCAGAACCTCTTTGGAGCCGATCACTAGTCTTCCTCCATGGCCTCACCGAGCTCCTCCCACGCCCGAGTTTTTGCCTCCACGACTGCTGCCGCCGCGCTCTGCTTGGCCCACCGATACCTGTCAGCTGCTTCCGAAGACCCACAGACCAACCATGCCCTGTAGGCCTCCTTCTCCAGCCTGACGGCTCCTCTCACCTCTGGTGTCCACCAGCGGGTTCGGGGATTACCGCCGTGACTGGCCCCAGCGGCCTTGCAGCCACAGCTCGCAACCGCCGCCTCGACAATGGCAGAGCGGAACAAGGCCCATTCGGACTCAATGTCCCCCTCTGCCCTCGGGACGCAGTCGAAGCTTTCCCGGAGGTGGGAGTTGAAGATCATCTGGGCAGGTTCTTCTGCCAGGCGTTCCCAGCAGACCCTCACTGTTCGTTTGGGCCTGCCAGGTCTGCGCGGCGTCTTCCCCCACCATCTGATCCAACTCACCACCAGGTGGTGATCAGTTGACAGCTCTGCTACTCTCTTCACCCGAGTGTCCAGAACATATGGCCGCAGGTCAAATGATACGACTACAAAGTAGATCATTGACCTGCGACCTAGGCTGTCCTGGTGCCACGTGCACCGATGGACATCCTTATGTTTGAACATGGTGTTAGTTATGGCCAAACTGCGACCCGCACAGAAGTCCAATAACTGAACACCACACGGGTTCAGATCGGGCAAACCGTTCCTCCCAATCACGCCCCTCCAGGTCCCGCTGTCATTGCCCACCTGAGCGTTGAAGTCCTCCAGCAGAACAATGGAGTCCCCGGTCGGGGCACTGTCCAGCACCCGTCCCAGGGACTCCAAAAAGGGTGGTTACTCTGAACTGTTGTTCGGTGCATAAGCACAGACAAGGAGGAGGAGGAAGGAGAGAGTCCAACCCCTCTCAAGGACTAGGGTTCCAGAGCCGGAACTGTGTGTCGAGGTGAGGCCGACTATATCTAGCCGGTAGCGCTCAACCTCTTCCACAAGCTCTGGCTCCTTCCCCGCCAGAGAGGTGACATTCCATGTCCCAAGAGCCAACTTCTGTAACCGAGGATCGGACCGCCAAGGCCCCCGCCTTGGTCTGCTGCCCAATCCACATTGCACCGAACCCTTCTGGATCCATCTGAGGGTGGTGGGCCTGCAGGGGGACGAGCCCATGTAGCCGGTTCGGGCTGGGCCTGGCTGGACCCCATGGGCGAAAGCCCGACCACCAGGCACTCGCCCACGGGCCCCAACCCCAGTCCTGGCTCCAGGGCGGGGCCCCGTTAATCCTCCGGGCCGGGTACACGTGTCCTTGTTCGTATCCATCATGAAGGGTCTTTTGAACCGTTCTTCGTCTGACCCTTCGCCCAGAACCAATCTGCCATGGGAAACCCTACCAGGGGCAAAATGCCCCCGACAGCATAGCTCCTAGGGTCATTAGGGCACTCAAACTCCTCCACCACCATAAGGTGACGGTTCTCGGAGGAGGCCTTGGTGTCCCACATTTTGGCCGTGATGCCCCAATAAATTTGTATCAAAGGCCAAAGTGGCCTTGCCCTAAAAATGACTTAATTCCAGGCCTGGAATACCTACTTCAGAAAAATGTTGTTCAACATTGATATTTATTGTTAAAATTGTTCAAAAGCTGTAAAAGAAGACAAGAGACTAAAGTTTATTGTTTTTACGGTCAGTGTCAGGCTGTCAGCTGTTGCATTTAAGCTAAAAACAGGAGTGTTCCCTCTCTGCTGACCAGAATTTATGTGCATTGTGTCTCTTGTATCAGGCACGATCATAGGTTTTGTTATTTAATGATATTTTTTTATTATTTATTTATAATTTTTGTTACTTTTCCTTTTTTATAAGGAAATAAGCACAATAAATATTTATGTTGAAAAAAATCGTGAGAGAATCGTGATCTCAATTATAAGCCAAAAAATTGTGATTCTCATTTTTTCCAGAATCGTGCAGCCCTACTTTACACACTCTCCCATGATGGTGAACTAAAACCCTTTGGCTTGAGTATGAAACAAGACATTAGATGACACAATTTTGGGGTTTGGGAGAGACAGACCAACATTTTTCAACATTTGAACATATTTTTCGATAAAATGATTAGTCGACTAATCGAAGAAATAATCGGCAGATTAGTCGACAAAGAAAATAATCGTTAGGTGCAACCCTGTTCATTATTTTGCTGCTCGTTTTTATCTGTTCTCATGTTCACTTTTCCTACTGGAATGATTAGACTAAGGATCACTACTAGTCTCCTAAGGGGGTGGGGCAGTGGAGAAACCCACGTAACACAGATACAGAGGGGAAAATCTGAAGTGAGCCATCTGGATTTATCATTGGTTTCTGTTCTCTCTCTCTCTCTCTCTCTCTTTCTCTCACTCTTTCTCTCTCTCTCTCTTTCTCTCACTCTTTCTCTCTCTCTCTCTCACACTCACTCACTCACTCACTCAAACACACAAACACACTTTGACAGAACCAGAGGGGTCCGTCCTTGTCTCTGTTCTCGACCTGTGTCTTGCGCTCTCATCAGCTGTAGTTTGTCAACAGAGTCCCTGACAGGTCTAGATGTTAGATATGTGGGGTGCATCTGCATTGCACTGGCGACGTTTGGCCTCAAATCTTGGGACAGTTAGAGTTCGAGCACCAATTTTGCAAGTGTAAAGCCAACACTGATTTGCGTATTATCTGGGGCCTTTGGTGGGGAGATCTAAAAACTGTTTGCAAGTAGAGATGTCATGATTACTTGATTTCACTATTAACCGCGGTTTTAAACGCCACGGTTAATCATTCGTAAAGATTCCTCAACACCGTCACTCTCCAAAGATTATGCTGGGACGCGGAACCATATACAGTAGGTCAGCGCAACTTGCACGGAACGAAAACAAAGTTACACAAGCGGTGTCTCCGAGTGATAAAGTATGGATGAAGAAGACTTATTCCTCCCAAAAAACGGATAAGTCAGCCGTGTGGGATCATTTTGACTATCACAAAAATGACCAAGGGGTCATTGTTGACGACGGCTTTCCAGTTTGTAAAACATGCCGCAAAAAAGTCGCAGCCAAAGGATCAAACGAGCAACATGATACAACACCTGCGGGACAACCACCCGGCTTTACATGTGCGAGTAAAGGTAAATGCACAATAACTGGGTTAAAATACGTCCATCTCAATTTATCTAATGTAACACTGAATTTAAAAATTATATGTTAGTGTGTCATTTGCAATTAATGGCGTAGTGGTATGATACGAGTTGGGCTTACAGTGCAACGTGCCAAGTTAAGGCACGTCTCAAAAACTTTTGATGGATAGTTTTGCAGTTTATGTGTGCACACAGCGTGAGGTTGTAATGGTTTTGGGTCCGTGTAGCTCTTTGGAGTAAGACGACGGGCAGAAACTCACGTCCACACGAGTGTGGGATTTCACAAATGCTCGTCGTTTATTTTTACATCAACTTAAAAACACTCCAACCTTACCAAGCCCGGTTGTACGGCTACTACAGTATATTTTCATACATGAACAAAATAGTCGCCACACGTACTTATAACCATCACTGTTGTGTTGAGAGATAAAAGAAAAAGCAGGAGCGCACGGAAATAAATGAAACTTAAAGATCTATAAGGAGTGTTCATGTGATTTTACACATTTATAGTGTGAAATTAATTAATGCATAATAATTGTAATAATCGTAATACCGTGATTATTTCTCTGACAATAACCATACCAAGAAAATCTATAATCGTGACATCCCTATTTGCAAGTGGCAAGTAGTGTTATCTAGGTATAACGCAACATGGTTCAAGATCTTCCTCGAAGCTGAGGATGACATCATTGAAGCTCTAAGGATGATTACAGATGATTTTGTCTTGTCCAAGGCAAGCCTGAGCCAGCCCTAACTATAAGCTTTATCAAAGAGGAAAGTCTTAAGTCTAGTCTTAAATGTGGAGACGGTGTCTGCCTCCCGGACTGTAACAGGAAGATGATTCCACAGGAGAGGAGCCTGATAGCTGAAGGCTCTGGCTCCTGTTCTACTTTTGGAGACTTTTGGAACCATGCGTGACCCAGCATTCTCAGAGTGCAACGTTCTGGCAGGATAATATGACACTATGAGCTCTCTAAGATATGGTGGAGCCTGACCATTTAGAGCTTTATAAGTGAGGAGAAGGATTTTAAATTAAATTCTGGATTTTACAGTGAGCCACTGCAGAGACACTAAAACAGGAGAAATATGATCTCTTTTCTTAGTTCCTGTCAGTACATGTACCGCCACATTCTGGATCAGCTGGAGAGTTTTTAGGGACTTAATATAGCAACTCGATTATAGGGAACTGCAGTAATCCAACCTAGAGGTAAAAAATGGGTGGACCATTTTTCTGCATCTTTTTGAGACAGGATAGGCCTAATTTTTGCAATATTACGCAGATGAAAGAACACAGAACTTGGAATTTGTTTTATAAGGGAATTGAAAGACTCATCCTCATCAAATATTACTCTGAGGTTTCTTCCGGTAGTGCTAGAGGCCAGAGCAATGCCATCCAGAGAAACTGTATCTTCAGATAGAGAGTTTCTGAGATATCTGGGGCCAAGAACAATAACTTCAGTTTTGTCTGAATTTAACATAAGAAAATTGGAGCTCATCCAGGTTTTTATGTCTTTATGGTTTACAGAGTGATTTCTAACAATGTTACTTAAGGGAAGCACATAAACTAAGCACAAGAAGTAAGGAAATTTGTATGTGGTAGATTATTTCTTTGTTGTAACAATGCCTCTTGCCATTCCGTTGGAAAGCCTGTTTATTTCCCCTTTAAATGGAGCCACATTTGTAAGGAACATGCATTTGTGGGATGAGAAGCAGAGCTGAGTATGTGGGTTGCGTCCGTGAAAAATTTCTCTGGCAATGCCTTGTTTTGTTTTGTTTTGTTTTTTTGCTGTTGACTTGTGTTTGGTGTTGTTTGGTTGATTGGATGATTGAAGTCTGAAGAAACAAGACATATTGGCAATTTAACAATTTATTCATGTAACAAATAGGAGCCTCAGTAGCATGTGTAAGAACCATACATAGTCACAACAGCCTGGCACCTCCTCCTCATGCTGGTCACCAGCCTGGTCACACACTGCTGTGGGATGGCATCCCATTCTTCAACTAGCATTTGTCGCAAGTCAGCCAGTGTGATTGTGTTGGTCACTTTGGCATGAACAGCAAGCTGATCCCACAAGTGTTCAACAGGGTTGTGGTCAGGACTGCTGGCAGGCCATTCCATCCTCTCCACTTCCAAATTCTGGAGGTAGTCTCTGATAAACCCCACTCTGTGGGGGCAAGTGTTGTTATCTTGGAGGATAGAGTTCGGTCCCATTCAGGCACCGGATTGTCAGCACCTGGGGGTACCAGAAGCTTAAAACAAGAATCAATAGCAACAACAACAAAAAAAACAACTGTTTGGCATTGGCAGAGAAGAATGCACAATGTATGTTCCTGACAAATGTGACACCATTTAAACGGGAAATAAACAGGCTTTCTAATGGTATAAGATTTATTGCCAAGAAGCATTTTTACAACAAAGAAATAATCTAGCAAACACAAATGTCCTTACTTTTTGTGCTTAGTTTATGAAGTGAACAGAATCTTGTGGAGCTCTGAAACAAACCTAAGTATGCAAAGATGACAAGTGAATTTCAGACTTCAGTCAAACGCTACTGCCAGACATGCTTTTAAGGGTGTTTTTGATGTTTTTTTCTCCTGCCTAGTGCCATGTCTTTGGTTTTTCCACGACCCAACACCAACACAGTCCACGGCAAGAAGGATAAGAGACTGATGGCGGAAGTGAATGCATCGCCGCTCAAGCATTTTGTCACAGCAAAGAAGAAGATCAACGGGATCTTTGAACAGTTGGGGGCCTACATTAAGGAGAGCGCTTCATTTCTGGATGGTAACCTCCCACCTGCTATTTGCCCTCTTGCCCTTTTCACACATGCACCCCTTTATTTATGTTTTTATTAATTAAAAAAATGGCATTTGTGCCTTATTTAGAGAAAGAGAGACAAGGAAGGTAGCAGCAAACAGCCCGGGCTAGACTTGAGCCTGGGGTCACTGTAGTAAGGACTCAACTTTAATTGTACGCGCCCTACCCAATTAGCTACCAGGGTGCCCCATGCACCCCTTTATGGTGATCTAGAGCCAGTTTAATTTGTTGGCCTCATACTGAATAAGCGAACACCAGAGAGAAAAGGTTGAGATACCCAGAATATAAATGTCAAATACAGAATAAGATAACCTTCATTTATATAGAAAACCTTCACCAAGGCCGCTGTTTAAAGCTAAACAAAGACCGTTAAGGTTGCTACAGTTACAACATGAAATAATATTTCGGCCTATATTTACATACACCTGGTGGCAGCGGTATTGTTCTAAAATGCATAAATAATGAAAAAAACTTAATACTAACCAAGCCATGAAATGCAGTTTGCTGTCAGTATATAGTTGTGTGACTTGTTTATGTCTTAAAGAGCTTCATCTCTGTCCTTGTCGCTGGCTCAGCAGCATGTCTGTCCATAATAAACAAAAAACATTTGACAAATCTTGGTATTTAACTTCCTGGATGTGACCGCAATGTGACAGAGCTGTATGCATCGAGAGATTTGTATGTCTTGAGTTTAGGGATGTAACGGTATGAAAATTTCATATCACAGTTATTGTGACCAAAATTATCGCGGTTATCATTATTATCGCAGTATTGTTAAAATGTGCTCAAAATGTTCAAAAAGTACTTACACACACACTGAAATCATTTAACCAAGTTTTATTTTAAACAAATAAAATAACAAGCACTGTTGGCAGAAACATTAAAATAATAACATCAAACATACAAATGTGCATTAAAGATGGCACCTTATGGCCATAAGAGGTAACTGCACTTTGTGCAAATTGTAGGTAAGAACCAAGAATACTTACATTCAGTGCTCAAGACTAGATCTAGTCTTACAGATTTCTGAAGAACTGGTAGAGAAAAGGACACTTTCACTGTTTCGTGTACCGTACGTAGAAATCAAATGTGTATATAAAAGCAACACTACCATATTAAACAAAGTAATGTGGCAGAAACATTAAAATAATACCATAGATAAATAAAATAAAAATAACTGTGCATTAAAGATGGCACCCTATGGCCATAAGAGGTAACTGCACAACCACATGTAAACAAATCCATAATGCAAAATATGTATACGAATACAAATATGTATACAAATCAAATGAACCACACTGATAGTCTGTTCTCTCCTTCATGAGAAAAAAGGTGGTGCTGACTTTGTTCACTTGAGATTAAAATGTAAAAATGTCAAAATATTTACTTTGTCTGGTTTAAGTAGTGATCTGCAAGGGGAAACAATGTGCCCGCTGGCACTGAATAATCTCTCGGGTGGCACGGTGGTTGCTGGGATGCACAAAAGCTTCCTGGCAACCCTGGCAAGGTGAGGCTGCTCTGATGCATGGCCCTTTCACCACACAAGTGGATACTCATCTGCTGGAATGGATGGCAGAGACAGGCAGATCTTGATCTCTTCTTTCACTCTGTCTTCTGTAGTGGTCAGAACCTGACCCTCTTCACCTCTCTGGTTCCTTGCGGAGGTAATCTTTCTCAACAATCCAGCCAGGCCTTTCCCCTCTGATGCTGCTCTGGGGGTGTTCATGGTGGAGGTGCTGCTGGTGCTTTGTGGTTCTTCCCTGACTTGTACAGGTGCCAGCTAGGGCTGCAGTCTCCTGGCCGACTAGTCAATTATTTGGTCGCTGTGCTCTCGTCCGTCCAAATTGTCATTAGTTGAATAATTGCTGTGTTACTTTCGTAAGGAGAAAAGTGCCACATCAACAGCTTACCAGGATTAATCTATTATTTCCTGCAGCGGGGGGACAGGCCAAGTTACCTGTGAAAATGGGGGTGTTTTCAAGACACCCCTGTTGTTGACAGAAAGTTGAACTCGCCCACCCTCACGGTCAGCGTCGCAGTGACACAGACCTCCTGTCTATTTCTGTAAGCTGAAACCATTTACCTCAGTGGAAACAAAGCTTGAATAAATAAACAATAAATTGTGAAGACAGTAAAGCCTCCAATAAAATAGCATTTTAAGTCGTGTGTGTGATTTATCCTTAAGGGATTTATACTTAGGGATTTATCCTGGCTTCATATGAGCAGAAGAAATCTCTGCTCGTCGCTAGGCTAATGTATACAATGTAAAATGTCAAAGGCTAGCGCTAATAACGTTAGCATGTTGTATTTGTTTGGAAAACATGTCTAGTATAAGACAGTTGTTTTGTCGGTGAATGTTGTGAGTTGTAATGGAGCCAAATTTTGTGCCGTTACCTTTGTTAAATGTTGCTGTTGTCCCTGGTTTTATATGAGAAGAGGAAAAGATTGCTAGATGCTAAGCTAATTTATACAATGTAAAATGCCATAGACTTGTGCTAATGACGTTAGAATGTTGTATTGGTGGGGGAAATGTGTCCAGATAGTGTTTGTCAGTTCTGCGATTTATAGTGAAGCCAATTTGCATACTTGTGTTTGAAATTTTCTCTATTATACTTGTGTTTCAAATTGTCTCTATTAAGCCATATTTAATGTGTGTTTTGAATCAACTATATAAATAAAGTTTGATTTGAACTAAACTTTACAGCACCTAACACAGTCCTCCACTACCTACTAGTGTTTTGGAGGTGTAACTGCAGAGTGACACAGACACACCACCACAGAAGTAAAAATAACGTGCAGATTTTTTTAATTCCCATGACTAATCGATTAGTTGAAGATTATGTGCGACTTTAGTCGACCAAGATTTTCTTTGGTTGACTACAGCCCTACACATTACTACACGTAAAATTTGAGCGGTGCATGTTCTTAACTCTACATTCACTGGTGCGAGTAATTTAGGGCAGAAAATGTTGTGCAGGGTTGCTTTCTCTCATGCATTGACCATGAGACTTGCACAATTAATATTTACACACTACACATCCATTTTTCTCACACAGTTAAAAACAAATGTATGCACATTGCTAGATCTGGTGGTGGACATGCTGAGAAAGAATACACTGGCAGTTAAAAACACTTGGATGAATGTCATTTTGAAAGTTGCATGCACTGGTGCATGAACACAGGACAAAGTATTTTGAGCCCTGCTGTTGGGAGTGGTCAGAGGTGCAACAGACTTGAAACGTTTGGCTAGGTGAAAAGGCAGCTTTTCAGTCCGGTATTGTAACGCTTTAAAGTTTTTGACCACTGGTGGCTCTATAGAGCAATGATTTCAGAGGGAGTCCCTATTTTCTTTGTATCTTTACAAAGATGCACAGTCATTCAATATTCTTAATGGTGGTTTTACCTTATTTTCTAGAGCCTGTGTTTTATTATTTGTTTTTCAGCCTGTTGCTTTATTTTTCTATGGAAGCACTCTAGTCCCATTCAGTTTGGTACACTTTTTTTCCATTTCCACTGTGAAAAGTTGTGGATGGTACCAATGGAACCATTTCTTATGTCCCTAGTTTTGGTCACTCCTCTGTTGGGGTACCTAGCACACAGATCTGGTACTGAAAGGTGGAGCTGAGAACACTGCACTCAGTTAATTGGTTAATAGCACATGGTCAGTCTTGCTCAGGGCCGAGTTGTGGCTGGTTTTGAGGCTTATGTATGTTTATACCATGGAGAGTTTTACATATTTTAGTAAACTGTAACTAAACAACAAAGCCTTGGTCAGACTGCAGTATGTGCAGAACTAAGCTGCAAGGGTTTTCACCCTGACCAAGCCCTGGCAGCACATCACCCCCACCCTCAAACACCTACACTGGCTTCCAGTCAAGTTCCGCTTCACCTACAAACGCCTCCTCCTTGCCTATAAAGCTCGCCATGACCTTGCCCCACGGTACCTCTCGGACCTCCTCACTGATTACACCCCCTTACGGAACCTGCGGTCTGTTGACTTCTCAACGTCCCTCACACCAGTAGGCGAACATTTGGGGATAGAGCCTTCAGTGTGGCAGCCCCAGCCCTCTGGAACTCTCTCCCCTTGGAGATTCGCCAGGCGCCAACACTGGACATTTTTAAATCTGCACTGAAGACACCTGTTCACCCTGGCTTTTGGTTGCTAGATTGTTATTTTTGTTGTAAAGCATCCTTGGGTCTCTTGAAAGGTGCTATATAAGCCCAAGTTATTATTATCATTATTATTATTATTATCATTATTATTATTATTATTATTAAAAAATGAAAGGATGTTTTCCTGCCTCCCGCAGCAGCTGTAGTCTGAGAAAAATAATTCACTTGGCCCACTGCTGACAACTTTTAAGGTGGACCGTTTACTTGTAATGTCACTCAATCCATGAGTTAACAATGTGAATCCATCAGCACACCTTAAATTTCACTGTGACAACTTTGACCATTCCATTAGTTTTTATATGACATACACCTTTAGTGAAAGCATTGTGTGGGTTACAGCAACACCTAACCCCTAAGCTTGCTTAAGAAGGACTACATGCACAAACCTGCTATTTTTAAATATCGCATCAAGAGAGACTCTCACTACAGCCTGTTCTATTTTGTTCTGAAAATGCCGGCATGCTAAATGCTCTGTGGACGATAAATGAGGGGCAGACTTCCCTCTGTGTCACTGGTAATGAGGAAATACAGTCAGTGCAATGACAAGCAGTGAGTGACAACAACTGCGCCAAATTTAAGAGTACTGATTGCGGTGGAAATGCTAGGCTCTACCATGTCTGAAGGGTTACATTTGGTTCCAAAGGTACCATACTGAAAGTGTTTGGTGGAAGCAGGACTTTTGTCAACACTTACACTTAATTCAGTTGATGGAGGTAACATGAACAAGAAACCTATCTATGCCCTCACAAAGGCAGGGAGACAGAAGAGTGATAGCTCACTAACATACACATAAACAATGCCGCTTTCAAATGGCTTCAAAACAACTTTAACACTGTGGTTGGGCCTCAAGGATACATTAAATGTGGCATGTTTATCTGACATGAATGGCATTAAACACACCCCTGGTAATCACAATAGTACTGCATGTAGCATCATATTTGACATCAGTCTATAAACATGCCAAATCTGATGTAGGTTGGTATAATACAGCTAGACTACAGAGGCTATTGATGGAAACTCCACATATAACCAGAGATGTTGCCCTTGCTTTGATGATCTCCACATTTAGATACTTACAAAAATGAAGAGCTGGACCCAGTCACCACAGAGGAACAGGTCCAGGAGGTCCAGGGTTGTCTCGCCAAGGTGGCAGGGATTGGAGAAGTGCTCGCCCGCAGGCATATGAAGGTGGTCTTCTTCGGGAGGTATGAATATCTGTTCATTAGCATCTCTGTCTCATTTTAGGAGTTTTTTATTTAAAATATTTATTTATCAAATTCACTTGTTTTAATACAGCTACTCCTTGTTTCTTAATTGTTTATTACAGTTTTTTCTGATTGCTTTGGTGCTACCTCTGAATCTGGGGATGTCAGTTATGGTTCATTTAAAAAAATCCTCAAAATGTTCTAACACTCCCTAAACAACAAAAGTGGGAAAAAAAACAATAAACAAAATGAGGCTAGATCTCACCATCTTTGTGGGTCTGGCCAGAAGACTTTGTCCACATCACATGCAATATTGTCTTAAAACAGCACATATAGAAAAGCAGTTGCCAAATAGTGTAGCAATGTAATGTAACGGTTTACAGTTTAGCAAAATTGTGTTATAAAATGGCAAGACATTAGCAATTCAGTTTAGCACACTTGGTAAATACATTGGTGACAAGTGTTACTGGTTAAGATAGTGCTTTAGGAATCTGTTAGTGTGTAAGCATTCAGAAAAAACTGTACACTAGCTTAAACATCAACTAAGTGAAGCTGTGGAAAGACTGTAGGCAATGCTGACAGGCGTGGTTTATGTTTTGCAGGACTAGTAATGGGAAGAGCTCAGTGATCAACGCCATGCTGTGTGACAAGGTGCTGCCTTCTGGAATAGGACACACCACCAACTGCTTCCTGAGAGTGGAGGGCACAGATGGCAATGAGGCCTTCCTCCTCACTGAAGGCTCTGAGGAGAGGAAGAACATAAAGGTCAGCAGTGCTCAGACTACTCTGCACAACTCCAGTCTGTAAAAGTGAAATGTTGGTCTTCTCTGTGTACGCAGGCCTTGATGTAGCACGTGATGCACAGTTATGCACATACATTTTTAGCTGAGCATGTAATTCTCAGCTCTCCACTGGTGCACATACAGCTTCCAAGTCACACAATGACCGTAAGTAGACTTGCAACTGACACCTTTCACGCTCTCTTTTGCTGCACATCACAACACTGATAGAAGGGTTGGGTGATCAAGACAGAAATTCCCATCTCGGTATTCCCATCTCGGAGTTGTGCTGACTGCCGATATATATATCTCAGTATTTTTTACGAAATGGGCTACATAATTTCAGTTGCAAGTTAAAGCCACATTTGAGATGTCACAAGCACTTAAAACAGACTGTGATCAAAATAAAAGCCAAAGACAGGTTTTTTAATTTCTGTTTGAAAATATACAGCTGCATAATATGGAAATGAAAAATTATACAAAATAAATTGTAGGGCTGTACATTAACACTTTTGCACATTGCACTGAAGCAAAAGGGAATTAAAGGTTTGCAGTACAGGCCACAAAACTATAGTATGACAATAAAAGCATCAAGTAGGCCTAAATCCATTGTAGTTTGGAACAAATAAAAATCCTTGTGGGGGGAGGGGGCTATATTCAGGCTATTCGTCTCATTTTCCACATCGCGTCACCAAAGAGTCAGAGGGAGGGAAAGAGTGAGAGACACTTTGTCCGCATTATATCCGTCTTATATATGAAACGTCTGTGATGTTGCTGCATTTTTTGAACAGCCTGGATGCAGGCAACAGATCTCCATATAGAGGCAACCTGTCTCCATGTCACAAAATAGACCACAACTACCAAGAAGAACGGCAATGTGCTATGATCCACCTCACACACAAACTAGCGGTACAACACTGGATTGCACATGTGCTGCTATGCAGTAATTTCATTCATCTCACAGACTGATTTAGCGTAACACGATGACGCACTGTAGACTAATGAACAGATTAAACAGAGGAGCAGCACAGTGTCTTGCCAATAATTAATAAAACAAAATGAAATTTAAAAATTATGATTAATAATTATTATAATAAATTGGTCTCATGTAGTACACTTATTTTCATTAATGTGTTGTTCACATATTTTGCATATATTTTCATAGAAGATAATGGCGGTTTTATCAATAACTTGCATATGTGACCCAGTGACTCACATTTAATATCAATATATATCACAACACAGGACACACCTCTTCATATGAGATTTTAATACTTCTTCTAGTTCATCGTTCTATTTTTCATTAAAAATTCATGTTTTTTTCTGTTAACTTCCAATGTCACAATTTGTTTCATTCATATTCACAAACAGCATTATAAGCTGTTGTAATCATGAGAAATTGGTAATTGATGTGTAGAGGTCAATATTCAAGCTGGATCAACACCCATTTGGTGTTGATGTTGTGTGTGTTTTCAGACAGTGAACCAGCTGGCCCATGCTCTCCACCAGGACGAGGACTTGGATGCTGGCAGCTTGGTCTGTGTCATGTGGCCTAAAGCCAAGTGTGCTCTGCTCAGGGACGACCTGGTGTTGGTGGACAGGTCAGTTATTTGATCAACAAATTTATTACCATCACCTGTTTGTACATAAGCTTTTTTGGTGAATGGTGAATGTCAAACAAATGACTCTTACTATGTTAGTTTATGTATGCTATCATTACATGCCTTTTTTGGGCTTATGCTATAGTGGTGGAATAAAAATGGCAAACCTACAAAATGCAAGTATATTTTTGACAATTAATCACAAGTTAAAATTGATAGTAGTAGCAATATGGACATGGATGTCTTTACATGTTAACGTAAGGAATTCATTACATTAAAAGTTGTTCACCTCTTTAGAAATACATCATAATACATACAATGTGGACACATCACTATACTTGGCATGCATAGAGACACAGACCTCTATGTATAGACCCTTTTACTCGTAGTAAACAGTATGACCTTGTATTGGTGGGTGGGGCTTAGCTGGAGGCAAAACAATTCTCCACAGACATTAGCTAGCGCTAGCTAGCGAGGAATGTTGGCTTTTTTTAGACAATGGAGGAAGATGATGCAAGTGATGCATTCAGAAACAGTCATTCTGAATGCTGGAGCGAACTCTGGCACAAACTGGACCCGTAAATTCAGAGCGCTGTCTGAATGTACCATTAAGTTGCGTCGAGCGGAGTGAATGTGTGATTAAATTAACCGTTTGTCAGTGTATATAGAAATATAATGCTCTGTTCCTTTGACCAGCAGGGCTCTCATTTTAGTGTAGAGCATCAGACTGAATTTGTGAACGCACCATGTCAGGTCACTCACTCTACGGGACCACGAGTGTTACTTGAAAAATTAAACACTGGCCGACCCGTATGCTCTCACTCAGTGGACAGATGATTTGACAGGATTGCTGAAGGTGGGATGGCCGTCTTTGTGGTTGATGACTATGCCAGTCTTACAAAGGAGGACGACATTTGAACGGTTTCCTCCATTTTGTTATGGAGACATCCAATATTCCTCTTAATACCTCCCTAATTTCTGATGAGGTGGACATGATAACCCTTAATACACTTAACTTTATTCATCCCTACAACAGTAAATACTTTTTTCCTAACCTGATATAAAGTGTGCGCTGCACATGTAAACATTTTAGATGATCGCCTCCGTCCAGTCCTTTCATCTTATCACATTTAACCATAGTTCTTTTCGTCCTTAGTAATGGGCAGTGGCGGCTGGTATGTGATAAAATTTAAGTTTTGTGCCATGACTCTTTCTATTCTGCCTCCCAGTAACACAACAAGATGAAGTTTTAAGAGTCCTATGTAGCCTACTGCCCTGTGGTGGCGAGTCGTGCTTTGCCTTGGGCAAATAAAATGACGTCATTGTGACATCGGCCCTAAAAGGGTCTATGCCTATGTAAGACTTCAATTGGCTTATCCTACTTTCTGTTTTCCCCTCCAGCCCAGGTATTGATGTTACCACAGAACTGGACAGCTGGATCGACAAGTTCTGCCTGGATGCTGATGTATTTGTTTTGGTGGCAAACTCTGAGTCTACACTGATGCAGACGGTGAGACATGACAGTGTGTGTCCACCTATATGGAGCCAGTATGTTTAAAAAGAGCAAAAGGTCTCTAAAGAATCTCTAGTTTGAGACAGAAGCTGTCAGTCAGCTCTAGGTGGGGTCATGATTTTCCAAATCCACCATTTCATTTGACTGTCAACTTAAAGGTCACGATTTAATTTAGTTTTCAATCTGCACTTTTTTCTTTTTTTTTCAGCACTGACAGCTATGCCATTGATAGACTATTGAGTCTCGATTTGTAACAAGAACTTCTTCACCAGTCAACTGGGAATAAAGAGAAGGGTTATTAGGTGGCAGGACAGATCTTTATAGCAACAGCAGGAGTTTCTTCACCTGCAAAAAGCCACCACAACCTTGCTTGACATTTCTTCACTAGCATAGCTTACAAACTGTAGTTTTTCGGTCTTGACACATTTGTTGTTCACATACCAGAGATAACAAAACATTGTCACATCGCTAAATTTGGTGAAGTAGGAGGATTTTCTGGTGGGCAAATCATTGCATCCTCTTCATATATACATTTTACGCAGAATCCCACCATTTTAATTCATGCAGTGTGTCTCAAATCACATATTTCTGGACTAAACACTTAAAATTTTGAGCGCACAATTGCGCTAAGTGCGTTCATGCTGCATAGTACGGGAAAATGCAGTGTACTACTGGTGCACTCCAAGCGGTCCAAAAGTTGAGTGTAGAATGATGGACACTTCTCACTGTCAATGGTTGCCATCTTTGTGACAAAGCAAACTTCTCAACTTTTGACATGGCCACTGGGGACAACAAGGAACCTGTTAATTATACATGTTTTTTGCACAAAGTACCAATACTGTTGCCAGATAGATGCTGTCAGAAATGTTTGTTGGGTCTGTAATGATTTGGTTCCGTGAACAATAATGTGAGTGCTTGCTAGCTAACCTGCTCCCAGCTACGGCAGCACATTTTAATCAGTATTGATGTTGTGGTGTAACTCTGGTTTATGTATGGGTGGAGATAGCGGTCAAATGTTAGGGATAATGCTCCACTGTCTGTTTGCAATTTGCCATTTAAAAAGGAGACGAAGAAGAAGAATAGCTGGTTTACCAAAAAAGTGTACTAACAGAAGTATGCGATTTGAGACACACTCATGGTTGTGTGATTTTTCAAAACGGTTGTAAATAATGTCTTCCTGCAGGAGAAGTCCTTCTTTCACAAAGTCAATGAGCGGCTCTCCAGTCCCAATATTTTCATCCTCAACAACCGCTGGGACGCATCAGCCTCAGAACCTGAATACATGGAAGAGGTTGGTCAGCTCCACTTTGGAAAAAAACATTTACATCTGTGAACATACACGAAACTGGGTCCTCCCCCAGAAAATTTTGGATGTGGTAGATGTGATTTCCTGCATTCTGTTGGGTTTAGGAGTAGCATTCTGGAGATGGGCAATACTAGGGATGCACTGAAATGAAAATTTGTGGCTGAAGCCGAATAATATTAAACGCTTGGCCGAGTACCGAATACCGAATACCGAATAGTGTTGTTTAGTTTTTCATTAGTTTTTGCAGATGAACCCCCTCCAGATTAGTGTTGTCACAGTACCAAAATTGGGACCCACTGTACGATACCAATGAAAATATCATGGTTCTGAGTAGTATCACGATACCACAGCGAAAATGAGGCAGATGTGCCTTTTGTCATTTATAAAAAAGATAAATCACTTTTCTATAATACATCAATGATATTTCAATGGAATAAATTACTTATTGACTTATTCATACTTCAAAAACAGCATCAATCAGTGATTAACATAGGGGGGATCAAAATAAATAAAGAAAATAAGAATCAACCAGCCACCCTCCTCCCCTGACAAGTCCCTTCATAAGTAAAGAACAGTCCCTAAAGTGCGGTGAGGTTTGTGGGCCGTGAACGGCTCGTTTCTCCTCTGACACGTCACATACCTGTGTTCAGCTGGCTCGGCTGTTCAGGTACTTCTGGGCAGTCCACATGCCAAGAAGAGGATATTATTGGAGCCGACTTCCCGTCGTCGGTAAGTCGATGGCCGCCGTATTTGACAGGAATGCATTACTGTCTGTGTCTGTGACCCCCGTTCAACCCACAATCGATGGGATTCGCCTTTTGTTTGTGCTGCTGGTTGAAATCTGTAGGCTGCTCGCACAGCATGCTTAATGATTTAAGCCTATTTTGCTCGCTCAAAACTATTTTTAGTCGCAAATGCGAGTGCAGTGATGGACGATCGCCACACTGCCGACATTTTACTCAGCCCGTCACGGCACGCTGTTTGATTGCGTTATCAAAACCGCAGCTATTATTCGGCCTTGCTTTTAACTTATTCCACCGAATACCGAATGCGTGTTTTTTTGCAATATTCAGCCGAATATATTCGGTTACTGAATATTCGGTGCATCCCTAGGCAATACCTACATATATTCAAAGCCACCCTGACTTGCAGGGCCTTCACAAGTGAACCTGCAGCTCAGAGTGACTGAACTAGTTAAAACCAGAAACCAGGACTTGCCTGTGTGGCATATAGCCTATTAATTTATAGACACAAGACCCATTTTGGATTTAAAACAAAATTCATGGTTGAATATATTTTGATTAACATCTAACTAAAATATTATTTTGGGAATAATAATATGTTTTGTGTATTATTGTAGTCTAAAGAGCATTTCATGATATATTTTTAGACTATGCAAATCTAATAGTGCCTAGACCTAGGCCATTTCATTTCATTTTTTAACATTTACAAAGCTCTCCAAATGCTTTTTGACAAAGCTGTGGAAATTAATCACAAAGTCACTTTTATGCTATAGATATTTTTTCTCAGCCAGTTATATTCTCTTCTCACCTGCAAAACGACCTTGCATGATCATCCTTGCTGGCCTCTGGTCCACTGTCTCCTCCCTGACCCTGCTCTTTCTATTGTAGCAATGAAGATTAAAAAAAATATGTGGAAAGCTAAATTTTGAAATAGAATTAGGAATAGTAGTAGTGAAATTGCTTTGAAAATGACCTCAAAGTCACTTTTATGCTATAGATATTTTCTCTCAGCCAGTTATAATCTCTCCTCACCTGTGAAGACCCTGCATGATCATCCTTGCTGGCCTCTGGTCCACTGTCTTCTCCCTGACCCTGCTCTTTCTGTTGTGGCAATAAAGATTAAAAAGATATGTACAAAGCAATAGTGAGCACAAGTTCTGCACAGAAATTAAGGGTGAGTGGGTTTATTCCTAGCATGAAAGTAGCTAGCAAGCGATTTAACATAGGTAACAAAAACATTAGTATTCTTGTTAACTAGCTTAACTTGATACAGTCAGGTCCATAATTATTTGGACAATGATACAGTTGTCGTCATTTTGGCTCTGTACACCACCACAATGGGTTTTAAATGAAACAATGAATACCTGCTTAAAGTGCAGACTCTCAGCTTTCATTTAAGGCTTTTTTCAAAAATGTAGTATGAACCGTGTAGGAATTACAACCATTTCTTCACACAGTCGCCCAACTTTAAGGGCTCATAAGTATTTTGACAAACTAACATAATCATCAATTAAACAGTCAGTTTTAATACTTGGTTGCAAATCCTTTACAGTCAATGACTGCCTGAAGTGTTGGACACATAGGCATCATCAGATGCTGGGTTTCTTCCCTGGTGATGCTCTGCCAGCCCTTTACTG